CTCTCTCTCTCTCTCTCTCTCTCTCTCTCTCTCTCTCTCTCTCTCTCGCACACATGATTGTACTTCTTACTTGTGAGAACCTTCAGTGACATTGTTACAACTGGGAAAAGTTTTGTTTTGATCACACAATTCAAACAGAATGACAAAATAACGTGTGTGTGTGTGTGTGTGTGTGTGTGAGAGACCCAATGATTTCAAACATTAGGTGTCTGGGATAATTATTGAGCCTAACGTGTACATTGTGTATTTCTGTACATATGATGATTGTGTTTGTTTCAGGTCAGTTTGAAGTGGTGTCAGCCACAGTGAACCATTACCGTGGTGGGATGAGAGCCAACTACACGGTAGCGAAGTGCAGCATATTTCAGCGTCAGGGTGAGACTATGTTGCACTCAAAAACCTACTACATCGCTGCCATGGAGATGGACTGGGACTACTCTCCAAACCGTACCTGGGAGGCTGAGATGTTCCGCGGTCAGGAGAGGTACAGTTCCACCTGCACACCAATTTTTTTCCCCCTAAGATGTCAAAGTCATGACCCGACCTACTCTGCCTGTGTATGAGGAGATAGCTTGGTTGGGGTTAGGGTAATAATATCAGGGTAAGCCAATCAGAGGCAGAGTAGGGCGGGTCATGCCTTCACCATCGTAGGAAAACAATATCGCCCCCTGCACATGTACAGCATGAAAACAGTTGCTGAAAAAATATCTGGACTTCTGCGGACAGTTAGCGGCAAAATTAGCCTCCAAAGATTGATGAAAGCGGAAACCATGCACTACCTATATTAACATACATGCAGTTTATTTTATTATACAAACATTGTATAAAACTTGAAGGATAAGATAAATGTTGATTCTCTGACTATTCCTTATTGTCCACAAATGTCAGGAAAAGACCAAAACCAGCAATACAATTGATCAGAGGTATTGCCTTTTAAGCTTGATGCATCTTAGACCTCAATTTTTGCCCCAAAACTATTAAAAAAACCCATCAATGAGCCATATTGTTGCTGTTGGTGAGATGTTACTTCAGTACAAACACACACATTATTTTTGAGTCAATCCCACACACTGGCATACAGCTGAGCACCAGACATGGAGTAATCCGTATAAAAATAGTGCCCAACAAGTTCTGTCTACTCCTGTTTGAGTAAAGTTTTCTTAAAATTCCCAGCTGTTATAGAAAATGGAGCCTTTTGAAAATGAGATTATTTATTGGAGACATGTTTATTAAAGATCTTGCGAAGGAACCAAAGGGGCTGAGAGATGGACTAACACATTGTTGGTTTTGGTGTTGTCATGGGCTTTTTTGACAATAAGAAAAATGTACAGTAGAATACCACCAGTCTTATCCTTTAAATCTAACTTTGCACTTTTTTAAAACTTCTCTCCTTACTATTTCATTTAACTCTGCTCAGTTATTTATGTCAAGATGAAATAATATTGCACCTAATGATTTTTGTTGTCTTCAGTGTTTTGTATCTTTTGATAACCAAACAGTAAAACACAGATTCATGCACAAACACATTTACATGCAAATGGCAGTGAATGCTTAAACACATCCACATGAGGTGATTGTACCATAAACACACACAACATTTAATCCTCTGCAAAATAAGCCCGTCTCTCTCCCTCCGCAGCCCTGCTTCTGTCTTCCTGGACCAGCAGGGTGGGTTTATAGGCTCCCGTTACAAGAAGGTGGTCTACCGCCAGTTCACCAATAACAAATTCACCAAGCAAGTGGAAAGAACAGCTGATAGAGAACACCTCGGCATTATGGGTAGGCTCTCAGCCAGGGCAGCAGAAATGCACAAACTGTGATTGTAATATAAAAGCCACAAATGCTATGTATGAAACATTATGGATTTATGTTCCAGCTTGGTTGGTCTTAATCAGAACACTTTCCCGTCTTCCAGGTCCAATGATTCACGCTGATGTGGGAGACAAGGTGACGGTGGTTTTTAAAAACATGGCGTCCAGGCCTTATTCCATCCACGCCCATGGAGTCAAGACAGAAATCCCGGCAGTTCATCTCACCCAACCAGGTAGTGTCTCTACCTGCTTGTAGACCATCAAGAAATATTGGAATTAATCCCAGAATGCATCATTTTTATTGTAGATTTATTTCATTATTATTGTGTAACAAAGTTAAAGCGCCTATGGCTTTAATTTTCTGAGAATACCAGAAGGACTCTGCAAAGGTCCTTCACTTAGCTCTAATAGACTGTGTAACTTTGTTCACATAGTATGGGATTCAATACCTAGAAAAATGTCTTTCCTAGGTGAGACTTACTCCTACCAGTGGTACGTTACAAAGAATACAGGACCAACCACAGAGCAGGAGGAGTGCTCTGTGTCAGCATACTACTCCACTGCTGATGTTACCAAGGTACACCTACACACACACACACACACACACACACACACACACAAACAAACGCACAAGCATTCACACACTTACCTCGTCTCCCTGCCTAACAGGACCTGTACAGCGGTCTGATTGGTCCGTTGGTGATCTGTCGCCGTAGCTGGGGCAGGTGAGTGTCATTTCATGCAGCATGTACTGTGTGCTTGTGTGTTTTCAAGGTATGACGAGGCAGGAATGAATTTTTGTTCTGCATCACAAAACAATATTATAAAGTATTTTATAGAGTGCTAATTTACAGCTTCATAAACTGTGTTTCTTTCAGGAGACTTGGTGTGAAAAAGGAAGTAGAAGAGTTTGTGCTGCTTTTCCTGGTTTTTGATGAGAATGAAAGTTGGTAAGTGGAGTCTAACCTTAAAACTAAATATGAACTGTTTAGACCTTTAGTAGTTAAGGTGTCTAATTTAAATGCAAAACAGATTTTGTCCCTTTACTTCATGGTATCTAAAAAAATGTTGTTTTGTTTTTATATTCTGAGGTTTTGAAATTGTCTGAAATGTATGCCGCCACCGCCATACAATGGAATTGATTGGAATTTTAATTGTGGTAAATAACACTGTCAATTTGAAATACTTACTTTCTGTAAACCCTCTCACAGATAATCAGGATAATCCACACACATTAATGTCAACATTTTCTGTTTTTGAGAATTTCATCAGTAGATGGTTCAACAGTGAAGTTTATAGGCAATTTTACCGGGTACCACCTCATATCCTTTTATTATTATTATTATTATTATTATTCCAGGTATCTGGATGAAAATATCAGGACCCACATCAGGAATCCTCGCACAAACTTGAAGGATGATGAAACCTTTATAGAGAGCAACAAGATGCACGGTGAGATAAAGATAATCTTTATCAAAATAAACGGCATCATTTTGACCGATGGTATTTCTTTTTACTTTAGATGTTTAACGAAATGTCCTTCATGTCTTTCCAATATGTTTGTTTGTGTGTTTTTCTGTGTATGCAGCCATTAATGGTAATATGTATGGAAATCTGAATGGTCTAAACATGGAGGTGGGTGATAAGGTGTACTGGTACCTGATGGGAATGGGCAATGACGTGGACATACACACCGCACACTGGCATGGACACAGTGTGGAATATAAGGTATACAAGACAAACAAACCCGCAAGACATGCCTACACAATCACACATCATGCAAACTAATACACACAAATTCCAACTATTTTTTGCTCTCTCTCTCCAGCTGGGTGGAGGTCCTCATCGTACGGATGTCTATGAGCTGTTTCCAGCAACCTTTCAGGTAAAACCTCAAAACATCAACTGATTTTATTTGTCTTATTATATTCACACTTTAGTGAACTTCAAGGGATCAGTGTCGTAAAAAGTTATTATTCATCATCCACTGGATTGTAAAATATATTGAAATATATTTTCTTAAAACAGGTTACAAAATTAATATCGACACACCAAATAAGGAATACAGATTAACTTAAAATATTTTTTGCTCACTTTTAAAAAAGGAAATCAGGTAAAAGTATTGTTATAATTGTGCTGCTGCATTTATGATATAAGTGTTCCTTTGCCAATCCAACCATCTTTAACAGCAAATATATATATATATATATATATATATATATAACTTTAAATGTTAAATTAGAACACTTTGCATCAGTTAGTTGCAGGAAAACTGGATTCTGTCGGCTCAGTGCTGTCAAACATGAATAAAAATGAAACTTGTGACACTTGACGTTTCCATCCTCTCCCTGTTCAGACTGTAAAGATGCATCCTCAGTATCCTGGTTCCTGGCTGCTCCACTGTCACGTCACTGACCACATTAAAGGTGGCATGGAGGCGATGTATACTGTTACTGAGAAAGGTGAGAACACTAATTGGGCAGGGACATGCATTCAGGCTCGGAGAAATACAAATGCGAGATAATGAGTATGCTGTGCAAAGAGTGACATGTTTGTTTCTCGTCAACAGCAAAGAAGAAGGGAATCTTTGGCTGAACAGTTGAGAAAAAAGGATAGAAGACAGCCGAGATGAGCTTACATTTTATTTCAGGACCCAATTCATTAAACGCTCTTCATAAAATCATCTTAATGTGAACGGTTACTTGTGCAGATAATTACATCTCAGAATAGACATCACAATTCATAAATAATAAATTGTGCATTTTTAAAATGATCTATCTGCTTTGATATTTTCCCAAATGACACTGAAGACTAAGAATACTGAAAAAAATAAAGAAAAATGTAAAATGAATGAACAGTTCTATGTAAGTTATGTGTGGCATGTAATGACAGCAGTCGGGCAGCAGGGGGCACTGTAGCCTTAGAGTTGCACTGTGTGCGGAAAGTAAAATCATTTGTAACACAAGTGAACATTGTTGTCTTCAGCGATGTAACTCACATAACACATCAGCAGGGGAAACATGTATCTTTTGGAAGAACCTTTTGAGTGATTACAGTGAGGTAGGGATGTAGTGTTCCCTCAACAATTTGATGCCTTGGGCATGATTTTAGCTGGTGCCCATTGCATCGCAACCAATCATTGTGTTCATACACTCACACAGAAACTGCTCAGCTTTATGTCTTTCAGAGCTACACTTAAAAGAACATTTTTATGTTTTAAAATGATGTTGTAGGTTATTCCCTGAATACCTGAATAGTCTTTCCAACTTTCCCTAATGAATTTAAGATGGGAGTAACTGACACTATTCATTAACTATTAGGGTTATTGGCAACCCAGCAAATACTATTTAATAGGCTAATTATGTTGTTGTGGGATTTTTTGTAATAATAGCATCAAAATAGTATTTGTAAAAATTTAGATTTTCTTTCATTCCAACATTATAACTCAAAAACCCTAGTGGGCTGAACAACATTTACTGAAAAAGCATGCAGTACATGTTCTCTAGAGGTTTCATGCTTGGAGGGTTAAAAGAGAAAACTTAGGACTGAAACAAATGTTAGCCTAACGACAACAGTCACGGTTAGGTTTCACAAGCATGTACATGAAAGTCACCGGAAACCTGCAATCAGGATATCAAGTTGTTCATACTTTGACACAAGCAAGGGTTCAGTCTGAGCCACCAGTGGATTGCAGTAATATCACTTTAATGCATATTTAGCAACATTAGCAGTCTACGACCTGCAAGGCTGCATCTCTACAGCTACAGACCAGTGTGAAGCAGCTCAGATGTCGCTGACACATGTGTCTGTCTGTAACTGCTGGGCTATGTCTTTTTGATGCAGTGTGATCATCTGACTTTCTACAAACATTATACACAATAACACTTTAAGTGCACTGGAGGGATGCAGGAGTAACACATGTTCGGCTTGACTTGACCAATATGTTTAGATGAAACGAAGGAAGCAATTTAGAAAAGGAACTGACAGTTCCTCTTTTCATCCAGCTGATGTCACTGTGAACTAGGAAGTTTGGATCCACCTCTGACTTTTCAAGATGATGCAACTATAAGCCTTTGAGCTTGTCAGTGTCCCACAGAGGAACACTGCATTAGGAGCAGTTAGTCCTCAAGTACTGATGAGAAATTGAATGGCTCCAATCGCTCATACACATCTGTGTGCCACGTGTCCTACAAATCCTGTGAGCAGTGTCTATGATTCCTGGAGTCTAGTGTCACAATGAAAGTGCTCAACAAGGCAGTCTAGAATCCTGGAAGTTAATCCCAAAATAGAAGATGCTATAAATCATTTTAGCATGTCCCAGACTCAGATAAAAGCCTCAAATATATTCAAATGAATATGCAGTTTGACAGGCTTGTGAGGAGCCACTTTATTCTGACTTCGCCCCTTTTTCATTGTTCAAAGGGATCTGATATTGTGAGGATTAGCTATCATCACCAAACACACACATACCAAAAAAACGTAGAAGCTCACACACTCACTGAACTGAGTGCAGATCAGTGTCTTAGCAGCCACCTGCAGTGCTCCATTAGCTGACTAGGAAATGGAATTGAAAAGATTCAGACCATGAAATGTGGCCAATAATGCCAGCTCTGATCTAAACCTGTACTGCATCTCAATGATGTGCAAACAGTTGTGTCATATTCAACTGGTAAAACTTTGCCCGATACTCGCTCTCACTCAGCTATGGTGACTTTACCCGAGCCATAATATGTTGCTGTTTAAGCCTGCTGAAGGAGACACAGCTGTCTGATTGATGGAGACAATTTAAAGCTGCAATTCAGATTTGAAAAGAACAAAATAATAAGTATGAAAGTAATGCTAGCAGCATGCGAGGCTGTGACTTTCAGACAAATGTTACCCAAATAAAACAGGTTTAACATCTTTACGGTAGCAATGGTAACATATGTTCACAAACATACAGACTGCACTGTCCTACAGGCAAAACAGGTGCATGAATCTAAAGGCAGCTTTAAATACCTGATGCAAACTAAATTTAGGCGGGTGACAAAAGGCAAACAATTTAAGCAGTCAAGTTACATAAAGATCAGATTTTCATTTAACTGTACGATGAATCAAGAACACCATATTCAAGCCAGAGTTGGTCTTGCTCGGGCTCACAGGAAAAATAAATAACAAAACACAAAATAAGAAAAATCCATGGCTTCCTTCACCCCTCGAATCCCATGTCAAGATTGTCAACACTGCTGGTAGAGAGGACAGGGAGTTCATGTGCAAGTGTTCATGAAAGGAAGTGGACCTTGAAATGTCAAAAAACATTTAGAAAGCAAAGTAAACAAGATATCACAGATGAACTTTCCGGGGCGGCCGCGGTAGATTAGCCTAATTTGAGTATAGGCCAGCGGCACTGTGCTTTCACAATGGCTGTCTTGCATTGTAGACATTTGTGAATTTGTGTTTCGAACGTAGTTTGTGTAATGTATTTGTGTTACTCATCTAGTCAGTGTTTATTTTTTGGGACTGACCCACTTCAGGACATGTTGAACTTCCCCTTCCACATGGAGGATGGCCATGATCAGTGCCCGGCCTGTCTGGGAATCGAACACCTCAGGCCGGGCGTATCCGACGACCCTTGTATGAACTGTAGTTGCATGCCACTGTCAGTAAAAATGGCAAGACTTGCAGAGATAGGTGGGGATTTTGGGCTGCTGCCTGCTAGTGTGTCTGCAGACCCAACAACATCAAAGATGCTCAAGGCGGTCTCACATGGTCCACCAAAAAAAGTAAGAAAAGTTGAAGCTTTGGCTCTCAATGTTGGCAATCTTTCATCAGAGTTTGCTCAGATTAAAGAGCTCCTGCTCAATCTCCAGCCTGATAATAGGGGGCCAGCTCCTCGTGGTGACTCCGCCACGAGGGGCTCACCTTGTTTAGAGGATGATGTACTGTCAACTGCAGCCTCCTGCAGTTTGTGTGATGAGGGGCAGAGCGATAATTGAGATACAGGGCATCTGATGCTTTTTCTCAGGGGTCTGATGGTGGGTCTTTATATGGATCAGAGGCTGGCCATGCCACAAGGAAGCCAGCTATTAGGATGACTTTAGCATGCTGGGGATAAAGCTCCTGTAGGAGCGGCTCCTTTAAGTGCTTCTTTCAGGCAGTCGCCACAGCCTTATGCCTTTTCAGTCCCTCCTTCTAAGCCCTGTATTGAAGAGCTCCAGAAGTGCTGGTTAAACCCTAAATTGTTCTCCCATCACACTAGTGGTATAAGTCATCCAGTGCATTTTTTTTAGGAAGAATTAAATAGAACAAGATTTCTGAATGTAACTATAGTTCCACGAATTCTGGTTGACCGCCAGATTTGCCTGTCACTCGGAATCTGGGCAAGAAGATTCTGAAGGAACAGAATGCGTGATGCAATCAGCTCCCATGAGGGCTCGTTATGTGCACGCTATGGTACATATGTGCAAGTGCATGTCATCTGTGCTTCTGTTTTTGTGTGTGTAGTTACATTTCATGGAGGTGTCTCTATAAGGTATTTTATAGTGGGATGATTTCTGATGCAGCCTGCCAGTATAAGGACCTGAAAAAGCCCTGTTAGTGTGCTGCTGAAACAACTACTTGTTCTGACTCTGCCTGGACAGAGGGCCTATTAGGACTGATACCCTGCGACATCAGCGTGTTGGAAGCAGATGGCTGGTGGTGCCTGCAGTCGTATCTCTCTCCCACACCAGGCTCTCTGGGCAGATTCGACATAAGCTTAATTAATGATTTGATAACTGCAGAGGCGTTAAAAGGAGCATGGAGACCAGCGTGAATTCCAAATGTAAGAGCTAAACTGGCTTGTGCGATGTGGAGGGATTTCTTACCACATGCTTTGCCACATGCTCTCTCTATCCCTCACACTTACTCAAATCGGCCCAGTTTGAGCTCTCCAGCATGCTGAGTGCATGAAATAAGTTGCAGATCTAAGAACTAAACAAAACAGATGTTTTCTGAAAGCTGTGCTCCCTTTGAGCTTTCGCACTACAGGGGGCCGCCGGTTGTTCTGAAATCTAGATGTAGTCACTCATGTGTTAGATGTGCAAGTCAATTTGGATGATTTCAGTAGTTTGGACTTTGTTAGTCGAGACATTCTTTTTGTATTTTGTATTTTTTCTCACTGATTTGAAGTGGGAAGAGCTCATTGGGAAAAATGTGATGTCAGGTATTTCTGTGCACCAATCAGAGTTCAGTCAGGATCACTTTATTTCCATGTTCAGTACATCTGGCAGTATGGCTCTGTTCTGCTGTTCTGGGAGCACCCGTCCCGTCCAAGTGCATATGAGAGAGTGAGAGCAGCAGCAAAGACCCCCCCATGGGTACTGAACAGAGCCGGCATCAATGATAACATAAATTACATTGATTAAGTCAGACATAGTATAATAGGAGGAGCTGGGGTAGAGGCTGGTTGCAAGCAGCTTTCAGAGGAAGCAGTAAGGCTAAACCATCTGAAATAAGATTTGCCCATTGAATGCATTGAGGAAAATCAGCTGATCCATCAGCTGATTGGACTGGCAGGTCTTATCAATCAAACAACACCAACACAGTGTGAGTGTTAAAATTATGGATCATTTAAATTAACTTAACTTTTGCTGATATAGTGATGAATATGTGACGTTTTAGAGAAATATATAAAATTGTATACCTCTTAAATTTTAAGAATCTTTGAAGTTAAAATAAAGTTAAAAACATAAACAACAAGATTAAAATCAGAAGATGTAGAAGATAAATCACCAACATATTACAGTATGCGCAGTATAGGTGCACTACTAAACTTCAAACAAAACACCCCCAAATTTTACAGTTTCAGTGTCAGAGACCAAGTGAGAATAC